GGGGAAGTCTGACAGTGGAAATGAGCATTTCACCTTTACTACAATGAAGCAGTTTATAGAACAGAGGCAACAGAAGAATTACAACACTGTCTATAACCAAACTTGCCCTTGAGGCACAGACAGCATGGGAAAGTCTCAGTTCTAGTAGCACACCTGCACTCTTGAGTTTACTGTATAACCTAGGACAGATGAGAATGCACATTTTCTACAGACGGAGAGGTACCAGAAAGGAGCAGCCAGAAGGGCTTGATCCAGACATGCCTGGCAGTTCCTTTTTTCAAACTCATAAATCACCCCGTTTCTCATGAGAAGGAGGGAGCCAATGAGTGAGTCCAAGAGTATTACTCTAAAGGAAGAAAGTTCCTTCACTGAGAAACAAGCCATGGGCATGTGGGGTGGGGGATAGTCAATCCCTTCTAAAGCTATCCAATGTGCTTGTGTCTCTGGCTTTCATTCTCTCTTTCCTTTCTGAAATCTGGTGTATACTCTTTATTTTCAGTTAAACTGTATATTTAAGACTATTTTTGATATATTTTGCCCAGAATTTCCATGTTTGAGGCCAGGAGCTTCAGCTGTCATGTTGTTGGAAGTTCCTCTAGAGAATGTTTTCACAAAGGAAACAGGATGGCCTATTAAAATAGGGAAGTGCTAAAGGAGAACAGGCTGATTTAGACCTCTCTCCAAGTCTTTTCTAGACTTCGGAGGTTGCATCAAATAAAAGCTATTTGCTAATATGATTCTTTCCTTTATTAACTATAATAAACATGGGTATAGATCTCAGCATATCCAAATATATGTGTATTGACTTGCCGAGCCTAGTAGGTAAACACACTTTTAAACATGTTTGATGCATGCAATTTGAATTTCGGGTCTTATATCTCATATCTTGCACAGTGTCATTTACACTCTCATGTTGTTTTCATTAATCTGTTGTTAAACAGTGATAAAGGTGCAGCTTCATCAAAGCACACCTTTATAGTGGGATTCCTTGAAGATATTTGAAAATAGTTCATAGCCAATGGGTTTTGATGAAATTGCTCTATTCAAGCAATTGCATTTTAGTTTTAATACAGTTTATATAAAAGAGAACTTAAAAGGCATTCTAAAAACACTAGGAAAGTATGTCTCTCATTTCTTGTACATGCAGTCTAGGAAAATACCACATCCCTCCTCCCATCTTCATAAAACAAAACAGAACCAGCACTGAATTGAATAAAAGAGTAACTTATCTGTACTGCCACATCTGATCTTATTTCTCTTCTTGGAAATTGGCATGAACATAGTTTGTCCTCAATTTCAAGTCTTTACGTTTAGAAGGAGAAACATTTCAATATAGTAATGTAAAATAAGTGCAATTTTTTATTGAAATTTACTTACTTTGATAGGCGTTGCCCAAACATGGGCAAACATGTTCTGGGTTTATGTTATAGTGTCACCTCCTCAATTCTCACTGGTTGCACAGTTCTTACCCCATTTTATGGATTAGGAAACAGGAGTTTTCGGAATTTATTGGCACCCGTGTGGTGTTATATTATTTAAACTACCTACTTTATCCAAAGCCAAATGCAGTGCGCTGGTAGGACATATAGTAATACCCCAGAGTCTGAGGGAACAAAAAGATCTTCGAGCATTCAGTTTTAGCATCTGATCCTTGACTGGCACTCGTGCTAGCATCTAGCATGCTTGAGATTTTCAAGCATATCTGCTCTGTCCATCTCACCTCCCGAGTGTACCCATCACCTCAGAGACTTTCCCTACCTTCTTCAGAGAAGATAAAGGAGGGACACCCAAGCAGGGACACCCAAGCAGGTTTGGAGGGTATGGGGGTGGGGAGGAGTATGAGATGGGCTACGGAGAGGTTTCTTTTCTTTTCTTTTTTTTTTTTTTTTTTTAAAGATTTTATTTATTTATTTGACAGACAGATCACAAGTGGGCAGAGAGGCAGGCAGAGAGAGAGGGAGGAAGCAGGCTCCCCGCTGAGCAGAGAGCCCGATGCGGGGCTCGATCCTAGGACCCCGGGATCATGACCCAAGCCGAAGGCAGAGGCTTTAACCCACTGAGCCACCCAGGCGCCCCTATGGAGAGGTTTCTGAAGTGACATTAGTTTCTTTCATTTCCCTTCCGTCGAGAGGCTTCCTTACTTCCCCAGCCCCTCTGTCCTCCCTCACGATTGAGTCCAATATTTTTCCGATTTTACTTCGGTTCTGTCCTTGCAGTCTCCTGCTCAGCCCCGCCCGCCTCTCTGAGCACGCCCCTCCGTGACCACGCCCCTCCGTGACCACGCCTCCCCCTAGGTTCCTCCTTCCCCGTAGTCCTGCTAGCTCCCCGTCATGCCTCTGTTCCCTGCCAATCACGCTGGACCACCCTCTCGGCCCGCCCCGAACGCACACCCCAAAGGTCAGTGGCCTCGCCAGCAGGCGGACAACCGGGACCGGTGGAAAGATGGAGTGTGCGTTTGGAGGCTTCTCCGAGGAGCAGTTCCAGAAGGCCTGTGACGAGCTCCAGCAGTTCGGGCGGGTCGGGAATGACTGGGAGCTGCTGATGGAGCACGAAGGTTTCAAAATCTACAGGCGGCTGGACGAGGTAGCACCTGGCCCGCTGGAGGAGCCTGGGTTGTCACTCGCCAGGGGCACGCTTCCCGGGGAGTGTGGGGTTCAGGCCGCGGAAGTCAGGACCTGAGTTGGTCACGCGGAGCTGGGAAGAGCGAACATAGTGGGCAGTGCCTGCAGCTGACTGCCCCCTGCCGCTGGGAGGGCATCCAATTCAGCCTCAGGTTTGAGAGCCGAGGGGGAGTGGTCCTCTGGAAGTTAAGCGTGGAGTTAAAACGTGGATTTCCTGAGTCTTGGCCCCATGCACTTTCCTGCAAGGGACGTAGATGGTGGGTGGTGGTGGTGGTGGTGGTGGTGGTGTGTGTGTGTGTGTTGGTGGGCGTGGGGAAAACCTTAGGGTTTGCATATAGGTGGCAAGGAGACTGGACTTCTCGGAGACTGTGTGGGTATGCAGGATGATAGTGTGAGTGCCGAGCAGCGTGCCTGGGAAGGAAGCTACTGTCATCTCCCATTTTAGTGGCTTGTTTCTGTTCACGGCTGCCGCATCTTTGCAAGATGCACTTAATATGTTCGTCTGAAGCTTTAGGAAGAAAGATTAATTTAAAGGGCAGGAGGAATGGAGTTGGTTATTAAGCAAGTCGCCAGGTGCTCCCAGAGGCCTTTGAAACCAGCTTTGAAACTAGGTAGCAAGCTATCCAGGTGGAAAGATTGCAGTGCACCTGAGATCTGTTATCAGTTACCCTGTGATAGCAGCTGCATGACGCACAGGTTAAAAAGTCACCTTTAGGCAGGGTAAGTGAAATCAAGGCTGAGAAGTAAGGCGGCATTCTGAGTGGGTGTGTAGCAGAGCCACAGGGTGTACAAGATGAACAAGCTCACAGCCCAGAGCAGGGAGAATTAATTACTGAGTGTAATTTCAGTCGTTGGCTTGGTGCAAAAATGGACATCTTTTCAGACAAAATCCTTTATTCTTCTATTTCATTTTCCTTACCAGCCACATTCAGGCAGGTTTTGTCAATGTGACTGCTCGGACATTCTGATAACTGGCCCACTTCCCTTCCCTCTTCTTTCCTTTGTGGCTGCCACTTTAGATGCTACCTCTCACCTAGAATTGCCGTGACCTCTTTAACTAGTTTCCTGGCCTTCCACCTCTCTGATCCCTTCCCTCCTACATGTTACAGTCTGCTCAAGCACCTGAAAGAAAACCTGCGGTCTTAACCACTCTGCTTTCAGAGGCACTGTTGGTTGCAGAATTAATGCTAAGAATATCTAGTGTAATAGCTCACACATTGCAGGCTTTCTTATGTTCCAGGAAGTGCTTAAGTGCTTTATAGGTATTGACCTACTCTCCACGTCAGTCTTTTTTTTTTTTTTTAATTTTCATTTTATTTAAATTCAAGTTAGTTAACTTGAATATACTGTAGTATTGGTTTCAGGAGTACAATTTAGTAATTTATTCCTCACATTCAACACCCAGTGCTCATCCTAGTAAGTACCCTCCATCATCTATGTAGTCTATCCTACCTACCTCCCCTCCAGCAGCCCAGTCTCTTAACTACAGACTCTCTTATGGTTTGCCACCCTCTCTGTTTTTATTTTTCCTTGCCTTTCCCTTTGTTCATCTCTTTTGTTTCTTAAATTCTACATGAATGAAATCATGGTATTTGTCTTTCTCGAACTTATTTTGCTTAGCATAATACGCTCTAGTTCCATTCATATTGTTGCAAATGGCAAGATTTCATTCATTCTTTTTTTTTTTTTACTGCAAAGAAAATTTATTTTACATATTGCCAGCCATGAATTTTTGTTGTTGGTTCACGTAAATCTGCCTAGTGCCACTATCTAAGAGGCAGGACCATTTTATGTCCACACTTGTATTTACAAAGAGAATTTTGATGACTTACATAAATGCAACTCTGAGTGGGTTTAACAATGGAGATGCAATCTAACACCCATAATGACAGCAATGTAGGAGAGACGTGTTTTTTAAATATAATTTTTAAATTTTTTTATAAACACATAATGTATTATTAGCCCCAGGGGTACAGGTCTGTGAATCGCCTGGTTTACATACTTCACAGCACTCACCATAGCACATACCCTCCCCAATGTCCATAACCCCACCACCCTCTCCCTCCCCTCCTCCCCCCGAGCAACCCTCAGTTTATTTTGTGAGATTAAGAGTCTCTTATGGTTTGTCTCCCTCCCAATCCCCTCTTGTTTCATTTATTCTTCTCCTACCCCCCAAACCCCCCACATTGCATCTCCACTTCCTCATATCAGGGAGATCATATGATGTTGTCTTTCTCTGATTGACTTATTTCGCTCAGCGTGATACCCTCTAGTTCCATCCACGTCGGAGAGACGTGTTTTTAATTACCTTTCATTTGCGTGACCTTACTTAAGATATAAATTGATGATTTAGAAGTTCTTAGTCTCCTAAGGAGATTTTCAAAAGTGCTTATAGAAGGAGTTAGTGAGATTTTTAAAAAAAACATCTTCCATGTCCACATCCTGTTGTAATTTCTGCACCATTTTTTCTTCCAGGTGCTTTTCTTTGCCTGCAGGAGGGTCCTGGATAAGATGAGTGTTTTGCTTGACTTCTTTGATATCCTGAACTTTCTCTAATTCTTTATTTTTCTTTAATCCGTTCATTATAAATTTAGCTTGGCGCTTCTGTTTCATCTTTTCAACTCTCTTCATTGCAACAGTAGTTTTATTCCACAGCTCTCGCTGGTATTTGACAGGTTCATTTCTACGTTTTTCAAATTCAAATAAATTATCCACTGTAAGCTCTTTACCAGCTGCTTTACGGAATGCTTTAGTCCACCTGAACTTGCGAGGATTCTGCTTCTTTTTAAAGTTTTTATGACACTTGGATTTACAGAATCTGAACACCTTGCAGTCTTTGCGAACAAACATCATGCCGTGGCTGGAGTAAATAGAGCCTGAACAGAAATGACACCTCTCCAAGATTTCATTCTTTTTGATGGCAGAATAATAGTTCTTTGTGTATATTTATCACATCTTCTTTGTCCATTCGTCAGTCCATGGACATTTGGGCTCTTTCCATATTTTGGCTGTGTTGATAATGCTGCCGTAGACATTGGGCTGCATGTGCCTCTTCCAGTCAGCACTTTGTATCCTGGGAATAGATACCTAGTAGCCTCACATCAGCCTTAATGTCAGATACTGTAATTATCACCTTTTTTTACCTATATGAAAAGGAGTATGTGGAGAGGTTGATTGCTGAGGGTTTGAATTGGAATCAGAGCTCAGTGGTCCACTTCCAGGCCTGTGCTATAAATAGGTTCCTTCCTGCTCTCCCTCTCTGAAAGAAGGCACATGCTGCCACGTAGGCTATATAGATCTTTCTCACCTTATGATGGGTTTACATCCTGATAATCTCATCATAAGTTGAAAATATCTTAAAATGTATCTGATAAACTTCCCCTACTAAACATCATAGCTTAGCCTAGCTGATCCTCACTGTGCTCAGAATGCTTTCATTAACCTACAGTTGGGCTAAAACATCTAACACAAAACCTGTTTTATACTGAAGTGTTGAGTATCATGTAATTTATTGAATAGTGTACTGAAAGTGAGAAACAATGATCGTATGGGTGCAGAACAGTTTTATCAGTTGTCGACCCTGTGGCTCACAGCCCCTGCCCAGCAACAGGAGAAGATACTGTACCACATATCACTAGCCCTGGAAAGATCAAAATTCCAAACTCAAAGTACAGTTTCTACTGAATTCATATTGCTTTTGTGATTTTGTAAAGTTGGAAAAATGGTAAGCTGTACTGTCAGAAATTGTTGACTGTACTGAACTAGTTTGGGTCCAACTTACATTTCCAGCTTTATGTCCCTGACTCATCTGCACATCGCCTGTCCTCTAGCCAGCCCAGACCACTCTAGTCTTTACCCCTCCAATGGACCTGTGCTCTTTTGCTTTTGTGCCTGTGAGCTGAAGCAGTGCCTGGCTTCGTACTGTGTATTGTTTTCATTGTGTATTTTTCCGTAGCAGGGCCCGCTTCCCTCTGGTGGGGAGGATTTCAGTGGTCTTTAGAATAGCTCCCACCCCTACTAAGCATAGTATATGTCTTATTTCAACCTGCTCTGAGATGGGGGGGGTCATGCTACACTGATGTAAATCACAGGTGCTCCCAGGTAACTGCTCTAAAGTTTAAAGGGCCATGGGATTCTAGTAGGTGTGCCCTTGGGCCTCAGCAGCTAGGATGAAGGGCCATCCATGGCCACTTTGAATTCCATCTGTATTAAAATAGCAAGAGGCTCTGTTGGGTCAGGGTATGAGCCCTTTCCTAGAATCCTTACTGGGTCCTAGCAGCATTATTTGCTGCCTGGCCCACTTTGCTTAAAGCTTCATTTTCTTTCCAGGTTGACTCCCATGTTTTACCTTCCTCCCAGAAAGGAATTCCCTCTAATTTCTAGTTAATAAATCTTTTCATCTGAATACCACACCTTATCAAAAGTGAAATCACCTTGCCCCACACTCTGGGTAGACCTGCACCTATCTGCCCCAAAGCCCTTTATCTGTCTTATGCGCCAGTGGTTTTTAATTCACTCTTCATGTTACTGTTACATGTCTTTTCTTCTACCCACCCAAGCCATTTTACCCACCTGAGTACATATGGCCTTGGGTCCTCAGGCCCAAGGTCCAGCTGGGGGTCAGACCAGAAGACCGGGGGCCCCTCTGTCAATCTTCATCTTGATTAATCTACCTGACCATTTGTGCAGGTGAGTCCCGGTAAGGATTTTTACTGTAGTCTTTGCTTTCCAACAACTGGGTTAAACAGAGTGGACTTATCTGGGACCCTTTAATGTTGAAGGGCCACCAGGGGGTCCCTAACTTTCAAAGATGCTGTATTAAGCCTTTTGCCTCAACCCCATCAATATCTGCTTCATTCATCCTATTTCTAAAGAGCCATCTAAAGATTTTGACTCTATTGAGATATGAGTGCCTTGAGTCCCCCCGTCTTTCCCTATTTTCTTGTTAATTACTCTAATATTTTTTTAAGATTTTATTTATTCATTTGACACAGAGATCAGAAGTAGGCAGAGAGGCAGACAGAGAGGGGGAAACAGGCTCCCTACTGAGCAGAGAGCCCGATGGGGGCCTGATCCCAGGACTCTGAGACCATGACCCAAGCCGAAGGCAGAGGCATAACCCACTGAGCCACCCAGGCGCCCCTAGTTACTCTAATTTTTCTTGGCATCTGTAAGACCCATAAAGGGAAACTGAGACGGGTAATCTGGTAAATCTTCTTGGGTTGCTCGAGTTTTGCAGGAGTAAATTTACATGTAGTGCCCATGCAAAAGGGACCGTCTTTATCAAAGTGTTTGTCATGATTTGTGTAAGGAGCATTTTTTTTTTTTTTTAAGATTTTTATTTATTTATTTATTTATTTGACAGAGAGAGACAGAGAGAGAGTGCGCGCACAAGCAGTGGGGGAGGTGCAGAGGGAGAGGGAGAAGCACGCCTCCCACTGAGCAGGGAGTCAGATGCAGGGCTCGATCCCAGGACCCTGGGATCGTGACCTGAGCCAAAGGCAGACACTTAACAGACTGAGCCACCCAGGCGCCCCAAGGACCATATTCTGTAGATGACTATCCCCATTGTAATAAAGCCAGGCCTACATCTGGATCATGTTTAGCCATTTATGTCGGCCCATTGTGAGCTCTGATGATGATCTATTATTATATGTTTTGAAAAGGTTGAAGTAAGTATAGAGGCATTTGAGTTTTCCACTGTAACAATTAAATTATATTTTAAAATTAAAAAAGATTATAGCTTTTTTTTAAAGTTGATAACTAATTCTGAATCATGTTCTTGGACAGATGGCTACTTTCGATATACCGTATTTTGATACTTTTTAATTTCCTCCTTTCCTATTAAATCACAGAATTTTTGGACTTTGAAAGTTTCTTTGAAACCATTCTGTCCAACACCATCATCTTTTCCGTTCACTTCTTTTCTGTCCTCCCTTTGCCTGCTCTGTTTCCATTCTCTTTTCTCTTTTTCTCCTCCCCAGGTGGTAATATGAATAACTTACCTTTACATGGTGATTTAATTTAATGCTGTCACATGTAAGTTTCCTTTATCCCTATAAACCAGTCTGGAAGGTAGGTAGGGACAAGCTTATTTACCTATTTTATAGTTAGAAATAAGACCCAGAGTTGTGAAGTGAGCAGCATGAGACCTTGTGACTGCTAACTAGACAGGAACCAGCCTGCTTTGGTAAGCTCAGCACCAGATTTACAGCTTGGTTCAAGGCAAGAACTACTTTCTGGAGACTGGGGGAAACCAGCCCAAAGCTGCCATGTGGTATTATGGGAAGAACATGGGTTTTGGAAGCAGCTTGTCCTGGGTTAAAATCCCCATTATGTCTACTATCATTCATCTTTTCATTCAGAGAATGTTCATCAGATGCCTCCCATCCCTGACAGGCACCGGAGATAAGCAGTGAACAGGAAGACGCACCCACTGTTTGAACGAATGACACTCACTGATGAGAATAAACGCATGGTATATAATGAAATGTTGGGTGAAAAATGCTATGAATAAAGTAAACTGGGATGAAGGGATAGAGAGGTGGTGTGGCAGTGGTAGCTGTGGGCGATGTGATGTGTTTAAGATAAGGGAATCTGGAGAGCCCCTCTGCAGAGGTTAACATTTGAGTAGAGATAGGAATGAAGTGGGAGGTGGCATCGTGCAACTTTCTGGAGCAGAAACGTACCAGACAGTGTTTGTCAAAGCTCACGCACATTAGAATCACCCAGGAAGCTCTAAAGACATGACCACCCCATCCTGGATCCCAGGTTTAATTGATCTGGGTTGGGGCTTGGGTAGTCCTTTGGAAAAATTCCCCTTTCATTATTGGGGCTCATCTACTTTTCCCCCCCTACTTTTGTGTGTGTTTGAAATGCTTCATAATAAAATGATTTGTTGTTGTTGTTTTTAACATTAAGGCTTCCCATGAGATTCAAATGGACATGCTGGGTTTTAAATCACCGTGGTGGAGGGAATGCTGAGTTTGAGTCCCTGAGCCAGGCTGAGCTTTTTAGCAGGGTGATAAAGTTACTTTTTCTTACAAAACAAGGACAGTATTTACCTTTCAGGATGATACTGACCTCTCAACAGTCATGAAATGAAATGATATATGGCAATGTGGTACTCAGACTTCAGCATGCAGCAGAATCACCCACAGGGTTGGTTAAAATTCAGAATCCAGACTCCACTCCCAGTTTCTGGTTCAGTGGATTGGTATGGAGCATGAAAGTTTGCATTATATTTCTTTTTTCTTCTTCTTCTTCTTTTTTTTTTTAATTTTTTAAATTTATTTATTTGACAGAGAGATCACAAGCAGGCAGAGAGGCAGGCAGAGAGAGAGGAGGAAGCAGGCTCCCCACTGAGCAGAGAGCCCAATGTGGGGCTCGATCCCAGGACCCTGAGATCACGACCTGAGCCGAAGGCAGCGGCTCAACCCACTGAGCCACCCAGGAGCCCCTCTTTTTTCTTCTTCTGTTGGTGTTTTATTTCTAACCAGTTGCCAAGTGCTGCTGAAGCTACCAGTCCAGGGACTACACTTTGAGTATCGCCGATGTATGGGACATCCAGCACGGTGTTGGGGGACGGAGGGTGGGGGTTCTGATGTCAAGAGGAGGGGAGTACCTTACAGAAGATGTAGAAATCGAAAGGTGAGAGTGGAAAAAAGGAATATTGTAAGACAAAAGCAATGTCCAATTGAAGTCTCACTCTTCTTGATTTTTAAGTTAGTGGCCACTTGGGAGTGAATGTTGACCTCTGAGCTGTGCTGAGCAGCCAGTCCTGCGGGTAGAGAAGGGCCACAGGCCACTTACAAAAGCATTCCCAGTGATCTACAGTCAGGTCTTGTTGGAGCTTTGGGCTGTGTTACCATCCCAGTGGACCTTGTGACATGCCGACAGACAGTCTGAAAGCAGTCTGCAGGGCTTCACATCCTCAATTTAGACCAAGCAAATAGTGGTCTGAGCTGATCTAGTTAATGGCTTGACTTTGTAACATTTATAAGTCTACATGTGTGGCACTGTGCGAAGCGACTGTCTGCATTGTGCCTCTGTCCTTTCATTGGGTCTTCTAATCAAAGAGTGTGGTGAGGAACAGACAGTTCTTTTCCAGGAAGTGTTCTTTTCAATGCTGTGCACCTACTGAATTACAAAACCCCAGCACTCTTAGGAAAATTGTGCTTAGCCAGGCTGAGTAAGAGAAAGTCTGGCCTTTCAGAGGGAAACACGGATTAAACTCCCACAAGAACAGATTTATCTCCGTGGATGAAAAGTTTTCAGTACCACCCCCACAGCAGATATCATAATCTGATTTGCATCATGAGTGTCTCCCAGATGCTAGGACGGTTCTGCCTCTCTGCTAAGGGAAGAGGAGTTACCACCATGAGTGATAGAACCGTTACTGAACCTGAGACACTTACCAAGTCATATTTTACTAGTGGGCCATGTCTGAGTGCAGAGCACCCATGTGTGGCACGCTTCTACCTGGTAGAGATGGAGGCCAGCTCTTACGCTCTCTTGCTTATACTCGCTCTCTCTCGTCCTTTTCCATCTTCCTGAGCACACAACTGGTTGGATGTGTCAGAGCCTCAGGTATTCCCCTCCTCCCTTCTCTCAGGATGAACATGTGGTGTGAGACTGTATGAGAATGTTGGTCCCAAGATTTAAATTGGGGGGATGAGAGTAGAGGGGATAGGATACCCCCTTCTGTCTAGATATAAGCCAAGCTTTGTGCCCTCACCCTGTCTTTCATCAAATTCCCATATGGGATTCACAGGAGGTGACTATTAATAAAACTCTGATTGTCATTGGGCCTTGGGCACCCTTTGAGAGGAGAAGTGACTTGTCGGTAAGGATCTGGACATTCTGGATCCTTGGTCATGATACCATACCAATATCAGGGTGAACTAGGGCTGAATTGGAGCAATGGAGAGTGAAATAAGGTTCTTGGCTTCATCTTCCAACCTTCTTTTGACATCAGAGTCACCATGTGTGAGCAGAAGGAGAATTCTAGTGGACCTCCAGTGGGAATAGTTTGTTTTTTCACAAGCTCACCATCCCCTGACATTATTTTGTGAGGCTAGTTTATCCTTCAGAGAAATTATGCAAATGAATATATTCTTTTTATTTTATTTACTTATTTTTTTGACAGAGACAGTGTAAGAGGGAACACAAGCAGGGGGAATAGGAGAGGGAGAAGCAGGCTTCCTGCTGGACAGGGAGCCCAACGCGGGGCTCCATCCCAGGACCCTGGGATCACAACCTGAGCTGAGGTAGATGCCTAACGACCGAGCCACTCAGGTGCCTCACAAATGAATATATTCTTGTAAGAAAGGGAGCATCCGGAGCACCTGTGGGGCTCAGTTGGTTGAGTGACTGCCTTCAGCTCAGGTCATGATCCTAGTCGCGGGATCAAATCCTGCATAGGGCTCCCAGCTCCGTAGGGAGTCTGCTTCTCCCTCTGACCTTCTCCCCTCTCCTGCTTTCTCTCACTTTCTCTCTCCAATGGATAAATAAAATCTTTTAAAAAAAGTTATATATATATAAAAGGGAGCATCCATGCAAATGTGAATCTTTGAATTTTAGCCTGGGACTTTTAGTGTGTTTTTAAGACCCCAAAAAGCTTAGAGATAGACCTAACAACCTTATCTTGCCATTTAGTTTAGGATAGACCTGTTTCCATAGCTACCTTTGGGTTAATGAAAAGAAAACTCCAAATTATTTGTCCATGTACTCATTCAAGTGGTCTTTGGACCTGTTGTGTACCTGGCATTATGCTAAGCCCTGGTGATACCTGATGAGTAAGACAAAGTTCATACCTTCAAGAAGCTTGAAGACAATAAAACAGGTACTTTTTATGTTATGTAGATCTGAGTTCCTGACTTATCATTTTTTTTCTTTGAACATCTTTTAACATTTCTTCCACAATAGGTCTCTGCTGATGAATTCCTTCAGTTTTTATTTGTCTGAAAAACTTATTTCTCCTTCACTTTTGAAGGACAGTTTCATTGGATATAGAATTCAAATTGATGGCTTTTTACTTTCAGTATAGTATATATTTTACTCTTTTTTTACATGGATGGTTTCTGATGAGGTGTCTGGTGTAATCCACATGTATGTTCCTCTATAGGTCAATTTTCTTTTTCTTTTCTGAGTTTGAATAAGATATACTTAAGACTTTTTGGTATTTATCTGGTATGGTGTACTTTATGGGCAGATTTACTTTGAAGTGTGGTCTAAGTCTACGTGGTAAACACCCATGCGACTCACAATATAAATATGAATCTTATGACACAAATCTTCCTCTCTTATATGTATTATTGCAATACCACAGGAAACTGTACTAACAGTAATTCAATGGGGTTTATTTTTCTCATTTAACCAGTAGGGCAGAACTCTGGAAAACAGTATAGGGTTTCCTCAAAAAGTTGAAAATAGAGCTACCCTATGACCCAGCAATTGCACTACTGGATGTTTGCCTTAAAGATACAAATGTAGTGATCCGAAGGGGCACATGCACCCAAATGTTCATAGCAGCGATGTCCACAATAGCCAAACTATGGAAAGAGTCTAGATGTCCAGATGTCCATCAACAGATGAATGGATAAAGATGTGATATGTGTGTGTGAGTGTACACACACACACACACACACACAGGAATACTATGCAGCCACCAAAAAACCTGAAATCTTGCCACTTGCAACAATGTGGAGGGAACTAGAGGGTATTACGCTGGGCGAAATAAGTCAATCAGAGAAAGACAATTATCATATGATCTCCCTGATATGAGGAATTTGAGAAATAAGACAGAGGATCATAGGGGAAGGGAGGGAAAAATGAAGCAAGACAAAACCAGAGAGAGAAACCGTAAGAGACTCTTAATCTCAGAAAACAAACTGAGGGTTGCTGGAGGGGAGGGGCATGGGAGGGATGGGGTGGCTGGGTGATCGACATTTGGGAGGGTATGTGCTATGGTGAGCGCTGTGATTTGTGTAAGACTGATCAATCACAGACCTGTAGCCCTGAAACGAATAATATATTATATGTTAATTAAAAAAAAAATAGGGCAGAAGTCAGCTGGCACTGGTGTAGCTGATCAGTGATGCCAGTAAAACGCTTGCGTCTTTTTACTCTTTATCCTCATGTTCGTTACCTCTTCATTACAAAACAGCTGCTGCAGCTCCAAATATCCATATTCAAACCTGCATAGACCACCAGCAAAGTTAGCTGTGCATACTGCCACAGAGGTTCTCTTAGCAAGAAGGAAGGTACTGTATGCTATGCGAAATCTTCTGTTTCTTCTGGTTATTGTATTCTACAGAAGGTATTTACTGATTCTCTACCACTGAATAATTTTTACTTTATTTATAAATGGAGCATTACAAAAGTATACACTATGTTTTACAACATGATGAAGAAATGGAGACATGCTTAGAAATGGCTTCTGGAGGAGCTTCAGGAAAGGCAGTAACCTCTCGCCTAAACTTTCTTGAAATCATTTATTGAAGTACTAGTAATTTTAGAGACATAGATGCAGAAAGATTTTATTTCTAATTTTTTTAAATTAAATTTTTTTGCGTGTGTCCCAAAATTCATTGTTATGCATCACACCCAGTGCTCCACGCTCCTTAATACCCACCACCAGGCTCACCCAACCCCCCACCCCTCTCCCCTCCAAAACCCTCAGTTTGTTTCTCAGAGTCCACAGTCTCTCATGGTTGTCTCCTCCTCAGATTTCCCCCCGCTCACTTCTCCTCTCCATCTTCCAATTTTAAAGAGACCTTACACATCAGTAATAAAAACTGCCCCAATCAAGCTAAGTTTCATGCTTTTCCCTATCAAATTGTTTGTGTAAACAATGGTACCCAATCCTTTTGAGATGCTCCTGTGCTGCTGACAAGAGTATAAATTGGTACAAACTTCTTAAAGGTTTATAAGCATAAAGAACCTTAAAATGGTAATACCCTCTACCCCCAAACTTCTAAGGAAGTTTTTGTAATGAAAAAATTAGAATTATGGACAAACTTGGTCCATATGAAATGATAGATTATTCCAGGAATATTTATATTTTAAAAATATTGGGAATGTTGACTCATGAGAAACATTAAATTAGGTTTGATCTCTCCATAGCTTGTTAAAAATAAGAATACAATTTCAAACCGTATCATTCCCATTTTGTAACATACACAAGTATTTATGTGCTTAAATATGTCAAATATTAAAGTAGGTCTTTGTGGATTATGGAGTTACATGCCATTTTTATTTTCCTTACTCTCTTTTTTTGGCATGTTCTACTTCTCCTATAATGAATATTATTTCTACAGTTATAAAAAAATTCATTTTTTAAAGACAATTTGCTGAGATCCTTCTTAGAAAGAAATAATGGGTGAAAAAGTGCCTCGATCCAAGAATTTGGGTGGCCTCTACATTACTTGAAAAGAGCATTTAACTGATAAGTGAGGGAAGTGGTACCAAGTATTTTGTTCCTCTGGAGTCCTGACAATTCTCAGTTCTGCCATGAAGGGAGTGTTTAAAGGAAATTGTAACAATAGTTCATTCTTCTGTATTCACGTAAATCACATTGTTCTATTTTTCTCTTCCTAAGAGGGCTTTCTGTTTTTCTTTTTTGTAAAATGTATAGGACTGAGGTCACTTAGGTCAGTGACTAAATTCAGAAGGGGGAAGGGAACCACTTTAAGGAAACAGTTTGTCTTAATTTATCCAGATAACCAGTTAACTCATGTGAGCTGAGATGACCATCTCAACACATATTTATCCCTTTTGCTCAGGCAGTGTGTACAGAAAGTGGGGCCCCAATATGTTTGAACAGGGAACTAATGGTCTCTCTTCCAAAGATGATTTATAAACAAGTGGGTATGTATAAACCCTCACTATCTTCCTGTATGTGTAGGGGAAAGGACAGAAGAGAGAAGGAGATGTTTTTCCTGATGTTTGCCTTCCTTTGGGGTATCCATGGCACAGCCCGTGAGGGGTTCAGATCTACTAGTTTGTCATTTGCTGGTTGGAAACCCTTGGTATAAAGTCATATACTTCTAGATATGGAAGAATTTTATGAATTCAGTTCCAATGCCATCTTCCATTTCTTACCAGGTATTTTAATGTATCTGTGAGATTCCTAAACTGGGACGTGTTTTTCCCTGGGTTATACTCCCTGAACTAGGAAGCACTTGCAGCCTCAAGATCTCTAGAAAGCTTCACCATGTTTACCTCTTGACTTCATGTAACTCCTTGGCATTGGGTTTAAGAGGATAGTTTTATTCATGTTCACTAGTCAATAACATTTCTTTAGCACGTGGAATAATGTGTCATTCTAAAAGCATCATTTTTATTTGCTTTTGCATGGAAATTAATCTAAAAGCCTTTGGTTTAATCTTAAGGACAGAGCCTTTAGGCAAGGGGAGAGTCAGGAATTGTTAGCTGCTGTTGGACAGATAATGAAATGTGTAGTATGGCCTACTCCAGCCCAAACCCTCACAAAGGAGGATATGGCCTCACCTGAAAAAAAAGGGGGGGGGCGGGAGAAGACTCTCTTATACTTTCAAATCTAGAAAATTTTTTATCCCCCCTGAATAAAGGGGAGTAATGTGATTTGACACTGCTGTTATTTCCTTTATACACAAATTCCTTAAATAAAAAAGAAGCTGTTGAAAAATTTTGTCTTGGAATTGATAAAAACAATGTGTTGGGTTTCATTATGACCTGTGGATGTCCAAAATAGTAACCTGTCCCCCTGAATGCTAGCTGCCTATATGACACTCTCACTGGGATGTTTAATAAGCATCTCAAACTCAAAAGTAGAATTCTTGATTTCCCCACAGCCCACAAATCACCTCTTCCCAACTTTTCTCTGTCTTAGAGCGTGGAGCTCCCATGCTGGGTGTTCAAGCAGAGGTTCTAAGACGTAATTCTTCTTTTTCTCTTTACCCACAGGCAATCTGCCAGCACTTCCTGCTGACATTACTTCTAAATATATCCCTAAATCACTGGACTTCTCTCCATCCCATTGTCACCTCCTCATTCAGATCCCCATCATCTCTTATCTGGACCATTAAACTGGTCTTCAAATCCATCTCCTTGCTCCCTTATGATTACTTTCTACCAAGCAGCAAGAATTATCTATTTATTATTCCCCCCAATTAAAGTCACTCATTGATTTTCCTTAGTAGTTAGAACAAAATCCTTACCCCTTACCCTGCTTTACAAAGCCTTTTTGAAGTCTGCCTCCCATTACCTCTATGAACTCAGCTCCGACCATTCTCCCCCCATCCATGGTTCTCTGGACCTGTGACTTTCTGTTCTTTCAGCATGCCAGTCCCTCTGGGGGTTTTCTCCCTACCAGGACTGAGTTTTTCTTAATTTTCCATGGCTGGCTGGCTCCTAATATTTAGAATAAGATGTTCTGATAAAGGCTATCTCTCATAGAAGCCTTTCCTGACCACCTAATTACATAGGGAAACCCCTCCCCACCAATCCAGGCACCACTAAATATAGAACTTTCCTAATATTCTATTCAAATTTCCTAGATAGCATTTATAGCCACTTTCACCACCAATGTCTACAAGCAAATATAAGACTCATGAGAGCAGGAACCTCATCTGCTTTTTCATCATCATGTCACCAAGACCACAGAGGATGTAGTCACTAATGGTGTTGCGTGTACAGCTGTTTTTCATGTGCTGTGTAACCCAGCTGTCTCTCAATTTGGGAATCAATAGGTTATTTCTGCCTGTTCTGTTTTTATAGCAGACTGGACTTTATGCGTATAAAGTCTTTGGTATTCTGGATGATTGCCCACCGGCTGTGCTGGCAGATATCTATATGGACTTAGACTACAGAAAACAGTGGGACCAATATGTTAAAGGTGAGTAACACTTATTTTTTTTTTAAGATTTTATTTATTTATTTATTTATTGGCAGAGAGAGAGAGAGAGGGACAGAGATCACAAGGAAGCAGAGAAGCAGTCAGAGAGAGAGGGGGAAGCAGGCTCCCTGCTGAGCAGAGAGCCCCATGCAGGGCTCCATCCCAGGACCCCGAGATCATGACCTGAGCCAAAGGCAGAGGCTTAACCCACTGAGCCACCCAGGCGCCCTGACTTACTGTTTTTTAAAGTCATCTAGAAAGTAGAATCTGTTGTTATTCTAGCTGTAGAAAGCAACAGGTTTAATCACTACTGGTTCATTTTTAATTTTGGCATGAAAGTCTTGAATCCTAGTCTTGAAACATGTCTTTATGATTCCTTGCATACTCTCAAATGCCATTCTTCAGTTTGCTCCAAGGCCTACTTTGTTCTCACTGTAATTTTGTCATCAACCCATATATCCAAGTAGTCACAGAAGGCTTCTTGGAGGAGGCAGTGTCCAAGCTTTGTTTTGGAAGTTGAATCAAAGTTTTATAAACAACAGGAATGCAAGCGACAACAACAAAAAACACAAAACAAGAACATGTATAGGAGAGAAAGTGAGACGCTGAGAGGGTAAGGGGGTGAGTGGTTCGAGGCCATTTGAGGCCCAGGGAACAGCATGAGTAAAGCAAGGAAGGCATGAAACAACACGGCATGTTCAAAAACTGAGCAATTTGGTTTTATTGGGTTGTTGGGGTAGCAGAATCTAGAGCTAGGGTGGGAGGAAGGTCAGATCCCCAGGGGCCCAGCTTGGCCACCAGGCTACAATGCTTAGATTTGACCCTGAAAGTGATGGACAACTAGGAAAGGCACGAAAGAGGTGATCCTCCTGTTGCTTAGAGCTGGGAGTGGCATCTGCCATTCAGTCATGGAGGACTAGAATTGCAGAACTAGCCCTGGGGCCCTGAAAAGATTCTTGCCAGAGTCAGGATGCTTGGTTGAAAGCAACAAGAACTTAACAAATGCCAGTGTGAGAAAAGGAAAAAGAATACCAGTTCATGGCATTGAAAAGTCCAGGGGTTTCTGACCTCCAGGACACTGCATCTAATGTTTAAATGCTTTCTCCATCTGGATTCAGTTTTCTTCTGAGTTGACCCAGTTCTCAGGCAGATCATTATATCATGGCAAAGATGACCCCCAGATGATCCAGGCTTATAGTCTCACCATATAAATAACCCCACAGGAACAGAAATGAACATTCCACTTTTCTACTCATGGTAGCCAGATTCCCACAATTTGCTGTCATGGCATCCTGTGGATGTTTGTCATGGTTTTTTGGTCTCTTAGTGTTTTCAAATACCATTCCTGTCTGGGGTGAATTGTGATGCTTCTCTATTTAGGGGAGAAGCCAGATGTTCTCCATCCCAGTCTCCTTAGCAGCCATGGTTCAATGGTGTAATACAGATGTTGCCAATAAGACAACATGCAGCTTCAATTTGAGAGATAACAACATGAGCAAGCAGGGAGCATCACGATCAATTTTCTGGTGATGGTAGGGCTAAGGTATCTGATGTTGGGAGAGATACCACAGAGCCTAGCCATTCACGCTAGGGTGTCTAGTCTAGTCACAACAGTAGCTTGGCTTCTCTGGTACAATCCTCAGGTTCTAAGCCTAACTCTGGTCCTTCTAGATATTTGTGAGTTACCTGAGAGCCTTTACTGAACCACTTTTTGGCCCAAACTTTGTTAGAGTGACAAGGCAAGACCCTGGCCAGAGGCACCATCCCAGAACAAATGACTGGGCCATGTCTTGCTCATTTTCCCAGCCCTGAAATTAATGCTAAGTGAGTCCTGCTTAAACTACATAGTAAGGAGGAGGGGAAGGATGATGCCCTGGGGGAGAATTGGGATTGCTGGTCCGGGAAGGGGGAGGTGAGGCTGAGCATGCAAAGGTAACATGTCCACTTCTCCCTTCCTCTCAAGGACTGTTGTTAGCCTCCTGTGGCACCAGTGCCCTGGCAAGCTCTTTAATCCATGACTTGCTTCTAATAGATTTTCTTTAAAAAGCTGAATTAAATAATGCATTTCCCCTTCAGGAGCTCCTCAAGGGGTTCTTATGGTTATTTCAGCAGCCTTGGCTTAGCTCCTTCTCTAAATGGTTAGTTTTGAAGCTTACTGCACATCTTGTGGTCAGAGGGTGTGCTTGTCATTGAATTCCTTTGCTTTCTCCAACTGAGAGTCGGCTGCTATTTGCACACAATATAATGATGGAATATTAAGGAATTCTGGTCCTTATAGCTGTGGTAAAATGTAAAGAAATAGGAGAGAAGGAAGACACCCAGGGTTTGCCACAGTTATGCCACTTCCTAGCTGTTTAGGAAGGATACTGCCATCCCTGGAACCTTCTTTTCCCAGCTGAACACACTAGACTGGGTGACTCAGTCCCAGGCTAGTTGTAAAAGGTCGAGAAATCTAAAGAGAGAAGGTCTCAAAAGCAAAACTATTGGGATTCTAGTGACATCTGGTGGTTGCCCTGATTTTAAAACCTGAACATTTGTTTTTGGATGCCTGATTTTGTTTTATTGCGTTCTTTTTGGGAATCTTGCTTGTGCTATACAGTGCACATGTTTTGCTGAATTTTATTTTTTTATTGTGTTTTTATGTCTACTAGACTCTGCCGTTGGGCAATAAGCTTTCGGCATTAATGAATGTCTGATTTTTTCTAGAATTCTGTGTCTTACGAGTTAGTGGTTTATCATATCCTCAGAGGTCATCATACCTAGGCTTGTTAATTGGAGCCCAGAAGCTCCAGATACATTAACTTCTTTTGTTCTCCTTAGAACTCTATGAAAACGAATACAATGGAGAAACCGTGGTCTACTGGCAAGTGAAGTACCCTTTTCCCATGTCCAACAGAGACGTATCCTTCCTACTTGGCTTTCTAAGTGTTTCTTGTGCCCCTTGGTCATTGCCTAATGGTAGCATGCCTAGCAGGTGTGGACAGCATTGTCCTTGAATCTTGTAGAAGCATATGCTAAAACTGTTGCTTCTTGTGTGACTTTTGGAGACCTCATTGTGCGATGTCTGGGCTTGACCATGTGGAGCCTCTGTGATTGTGGTCCTGGAGGGCAGCTCAGACTTTCCTGAGAGGTGTTCTAAGGCTTGAAATTTTGGGGCCACAGAATTGGGGACCTAGAAAGAACTTTTTATAGAGTGTTTAATACATTCCCTCAATCCAGAGGTAGAAGGGGGCACCCAGAGAGATAAAATGATGGAAGCGTAAGTATAGATGATTATTGGCCAAGAGGGAACTAGAATTCAGGCCCCCACTTTCCAGCTCTGCCCTTCTCCCCTCCTGTTTTATTGATCCCACATGATCTCTACTTGACTGCTGGCTCTGCAGATTGGGTGTATGTTTCTTCCCCTCATTTACCATTAAAACAGTTGAATAGAATGTGGGAAGTTTTAGCTGGCATTCCAAGGTTCTAAGAAGCCCTCTCAGGACTAGGAAGGGGGATGCAAATCTGAGGACAGGCAGGGAGGGGGCAGGATGACTGATAGGTGAGATTTCCACTCCTTCACTGTCCTCTTCACAGCAGCAGCAGAGTATGTTATACACTGAATTTCCACAGAAGATCCTGTCAACAAAGGGTTGTGTGGATAAAAAAAAAAAAAAAAAAGTTTGGAAACCACCCAACTGGATGATCACTGGGATCTCTTCTAGCTTTAGCTTTGTATAAGTCTGTATTTCCTACATAATTATTCTCTAGAAAGAGAAGGAGCGTGTTGCTGTGTTTTATGTATATTGTTTGTATGTGTTTTTGTGTCTGTGTGTTTTCCTTGGTCCCAACTAGATTATAAACTCTATAAGGGCTTATTTCTTGTTCACATACTGCTATGTAGTTTGTACAACATATGGTATGTATTTCAACAGATTGTGGATTAAGTAATCCCTTAGATTTTATGTGGTTTTCCCTGATCTTGCCAACATCTGTGCAAAGTAAGTACCATCATCCTCATTTCACAGTTAAGGAAACTGAGGCAAAGAGAAGTCCAGAACTTTGCTCTGGTTAACAACTAGTGGGTGGCAGAGGCAGGTTTGGAAGCACATCCAGTTATTTCCAGAGGTGGTGACCTTGATCAGGCGGTGACCATGATCCCATCTCTCTGACCTCAGTGTGACACTGATGGTTAGGTCTTAGGGGTAGATACTTGGGACCACTTCAAGTTCTATATATTTGGTTTAACAATACTACACAATCTGATGATGAGTTTTTTAATCTTACTATGTGCATGTCTCTCCACTAGTGGTTAAATTTTTGAGAACAGAGAATAGTGCAGAGGAAAAGAACATTCATTTGGAGCCAAAGATCCCAGACTGAATGTGAGCTCATTCTCTGATTTGTTGTGTGACTTTGGAAGTCCCTTCGCTTCTCTGCGCCTCATTGAACTGGTGGTTCTCTAGTCATAAGCCCTCTGGTAGGCTGGACCTTCCAACTTTTTGAAGACTCTGCCAAGTTTTAATCAATACATCAGGTTGATTTTTCCTCAATGAAGTGTCAGGTGATACCTGTCACATGAGATGAACAAGTTTTGAGAGAAAGTGGGACAATTTTTGTTGTGAGGAAAAAGTAAAAGGTCTTGATGTCAGAAATCCAGAGCCAAAGCAACATTATATCTCCTGCAAAACATTTAAGAACTTTACTTGTATGTCCCCAGAGTTGGGGGCAGTAGCATATCCTGCAGGGTGCCTGAGTGAGGGCTGGGACCTGTGGGTGCTGCAGAGATTCTGTGGTGGCATGGGGCTATGGTTGCTGCTGTTACAGTGAGTGTATTACGTTATACTTAGAATTTAAAAAAAAATTACTATTGTTTAGGCTTTGAATTCCTTCTAGTGTGAAACCTAAAATTCTGTTGAGGTCTGTCCAGCTATGAAAGACTAGCTAGGTTTCGGAGCCAGATCTGGGTTTGCACTCAGGTTCCAGTTGAGCGATGGGATCTTTGGCAAATTTCTTTACTTCTTGGAGCTTCAATATTGTTATCTGTAAGATGAGGATACTTACACCAAATTCAGAGGGACCTTTTCAGAATCAAAACTGATGCTATATGTAAGGCTTATGGTAAGGGCTTAATAGAAGGTAACTCTCACTGTTTCTTAGGAGTCAGTTACCTTCCCTATTATAGTACCATAGACATAGTGAGTGGTCTGTGTTTATAGAGATGAAATGGCTTGGTTATTCTTGGTGGTTAACCAATGTTAATCCAGAGAGGACTTCTGCCTACTAAATACTCAGGTTCTCATGCTTTTCCTCTGGCCACTAGGTGTAAGTAACATTGCTTGACCATCCTCTGTGCATAGAGGTCACTAACCAGAGCTTTGCAGGAGGGCAGGACAAAGTGGAATGACTCCAGTGTTTATCGAGTACTTATTCTGCCCCAGTCTTTCTCCAATGCCCCCACCAAGCTTGCCTGCTGGGGAATATAGCCCCCTTTCCCTACAGAGGGAAACTCAGCTTCAGAAAGGTTGAGTAACAAATGCAGAATCACACCGCTGGTGAGCAAGCAGTCCCTCGTATCTCATAGTGCCTTCTTAGAGAAAGGAGGAGTAGTTTCCCTGTATAATTGAAAGCCTCAAGGAATCATTCCCAAGTAGGTAATGCATGCTGTCAAATGAGAATATCAGGTTGTATGGGGCACCGTCTTTCAGTGCAGGTAGGGACACAGGGCTGAGAAATGGAGGAACCATTAAAGGGAGCAAGGGCCAGTTGGGAGGAATAGAATCATCTCACTTTGCTTCTGGCTCATAGGGTTTCCTTTCGACCATCTGAAATGCTGGCATTGATATCATGCCTTGACTAACAGTTAGTACATCTACATCCGGCAGCGGCGAGACCTGGACATGAACGGGCAGAAGATCCATGTAGTCCTGGCCCAGAGCACCTCTGTGCCACAGATTCCTGAGAGGTCTGGTGTGGTCCGGGTGAATCAGTATAAGCAGAGCCTGGTGATCAAGAGTGATGGCAAGAAAGGGAGCAAAGGTAAAGCTGGGGAGCGTGTTGGCAAAGCAGCTGGGGCCACCATATGTAGGCCATACTGACTGTTAGGCATGTAAAATGCATGATGCTTATTCTCTGAGGTCAGAGAATGGGCATGAGTATAAAACAAACAAGGAATCAAAACCTGGGGAGAGACTTAGTTCACCCCCAGAAACCTGGCTTGAGTGCACGGTAGATGTTTAAATCTGACTCAACCCATTCTTTATTGACTCCTGCATTGCCCAGAGGAAATCAAACCACGAGGTGTAGAAATTCACTTCAGGCTAGTCGTGGGGATACATACATCGGGCCTCAGGGGTAGGGTGGCAAGGGGGCTGGCATGACTCCTGCTCAGCAGACTCAGGACCTGCCTGCCTCGAGTTCTAACCTGCACAGAGAAAAGCTGTGAGTAGAGCAGGGGCAGCCAGCCACTCGCCTTATGGGAATCAGTGTGGCTTGTGTGTGAGGCAATGTCTGAACCATAATTCTGAAGCTGTTCATATCTGTCATCTTGGACATGCCACCCAACTGCTCTGAGTCTTCATGTTGTCCTTTTTAAGTGGGGGTTTAATCTTACCAACTCCCTTGTACTAGTAAGATAATTAATGAGAGAAATGATTAAATGAGAGACTATATCCAAGTGTCTAGCACTTGACAGGCATTTAATAAGTAGCAGCAAAATGTGCATGTGGCTATGTTTTCAAAAATGTGTGTGTATATATATGTGTGTGTTTGTATATATACACCCACACACATACATATATACATATTCTGGGAGGCAAGGCAGAGGAGAGAAGTTCTCCTGAATCCCATGTTCCCTCCCTCCTTACTTTTGGGACCTGAAGATAGAGGGAGAATCTTTGCAGGGTTTATTGGTGTCTTTCTAACATTTTTCCTCCTCCTGATTTTCCTTTCTAGTTTTCATGTATTACTTCGATAACCCGGGTGGCCAAATTCCTTCCTGGCTCATTAATTGGGTCGCCAAGGTGAGATCCCAGGAGGCAGACGGGGGGGGCGGGGAGTGTGTTTGACAAATGTTGACTTAGCCCACAGGGCTGTCAGACTGAAGAGACACTGTGTCTCAGGCCTAATGAGGCTCTTTTATGAAGCACCTTGGTTGAGTGACTATAGTTGGGACTAAGGTTGCCAACACCCAGGATGTGAAGGCTGGGACAAAAGAGAAGAATCCTTAGCTGGAATGTTAGACACTCCCTACCAGCAAGACCCTGCCAGGATCACTTTCTGCATCCTCCAGATAGTAGCCTTTTCCTTGTAGGAAAAATGAAAAATGTGCCTTTTGAACCTCTGTCTGCTTATGGAGGGAGGAATCTGACAGGCCAGCCTGGCTCGAGAGACAACCAGATGTGTCCAAGCTTGGAAGCCTCCAGTTTTGTTATTGTTGTTTTGTTTCTCTGTAAGGAGAGGGGACTGCAGTAGGGGCCGGATTGCTGGAGACTGCCGGAGAACCTGGCTTTATGGGAACCATTCAGTGCTTTGTAGGAGTGCTACTTACTGCCGGGAGGGCTCAGCACATTCCCCCCTGCAAAGTGCACAGGCTTTGAGTCAAACACGTGTGATTTTGAGTCCTTGTCCTGCTTCTGTCTGTATAATCTAGGGAAGCTGTTGATTTCTTCCCTGTGGAAAATGGGGACGGGTATTACCACCCTGTAGAGTAGTGGCAAGTAAGGAAGTATCTGGGGAATGTCTTGCACAGTGCTCAGCATGAACTAAGAAATAACATAGTCTACCCTTTGCCCCACACCCTCACCATTTCCTAATTCTGTAAAAGAAGTCCTTTCTATGATTACTAGGTTAGAATCCCAAAAGTCCAAACCAATACCATTTCCTGTGTTTTTTCTTTTCAAAAAATAGTCTCTCAAAATCATCTTATCTTTTTACTAGCAAAAACCAAGATACGTAACAGTATCTCACCTGTGCCTTGGGTCTTCTGTCATGTTCTGCAGAAATCGGACAGGGGCCCTATTGTCATATTTATCATTCTCAGAGTCATCTTTGTTTACCTTTGCCATAGCCTAAAGAATCAGGAGTAATGACCATGAAGACATAGAAGTGACAGTCTCCTTTGTTTTGTAGAATGGTGTTCCTAACTTCTTGAAGGATATGGCAAAAGCCTGTCAGAAATACCGCAAGAAAACCTAAGAAAGGAAATCGTGTGTCCATGGAACGATGATCTGGGAGTGCCACAGCCCACCGACGCTCAGCTTTCCTTTCACTTTTCTGTCTTCAGAGGCCTGCACACTGTCCTGCACGTCGTCCCTGAGTGTGTTTGCCTGACGCCTGGCTTCCTTTCCCACTCCCCACCCCGGGACTGGCTGCCTTCTCCCACTATTGAATATGGGTCAGATTAGGGAAACTTCTGCTTGTTTATTTTTAAAAAGGGAAGTCCTCAGTAGAGAACACAGTCATTCCATTGTGCCATTTCAGGGGGATGGGTGGGCGGAGGAACCATGACAATGCAAGAGCAGCTGATCCTGCAGAGCTGGCTCCTTCCCGGAATGTGGCTTCTCGAAACCCAGAAGGGGCTGCTGGGAGCAATGGACTTCCGTGCGCCAACACTGGAAGACACTGGCTGATGTCCGTTTGCCTTATGCTTTGGTGTGCTGATCTGGCTGGGGTTTGAGGTCATAATCCAGGAGGTGTCTCTGCCGTTCCTATTTGTGGAGGATCATGAGCTGTTCTAACTTCAAACCATTCTGAAAAACACTGCAGGCCTGACTAAGCACTAAATGTAATAACCATTTTTTCTCATCATCCATATCTGGATTTCTTTTTCCCACATCCACTGGTACTAACTCTGCATTTTAATGGAAACTGAGGCATCATGATGACTCTGGCAGTTAGCAAAAGTCAAGATGCTCTGCACACAGCACTATGATAAAGTGTCTTTCTAGGCAATAAAATGAATTTCCCTTCTAGAATGTTTAGTGATATTGAACAGATAATAGTTCACAGTCAGGGAAACATTAATTAGTGGATTAATTGACTCTACACTTTTTCTCAGGAATTCTACCTAAGTTGCCTGCCTCTTCTACTACCAAAAGACTTCCTGTTTTCTGTTTTCTCCTGAATTTTGGTAAGGCAAAATGTTGTGTGGCTAAAAGCACAGCCTTCATGATCTCAGGGAATAATTTTAACCACTGTGTGATGGTACTGAGCCTTAATTAGAGGTCACAGAAATTCAGGATGTAAATCCAGAAGCAGAGGATTTATTAAAATGGGACACATCAGACTGTCTTCTCTCTGGGAAAAATAAATTGAATACCAATAAATACAGAATGACTTAAAATTATCCTCCTTGCAGCTTTCTTCCTACCTTGTTCCTTTTGTGAGATGGAATCAATAAGGTCTCAATTGTTTGCAGGGCACATCCAACCTAACTAATGAACTTGAACATAAGAATTTTAGGTACACCTGCATGCAAGGCCAGGTGCAGAGTGGCCTCACGTTCGGGTTGATACAGGTGCTCAAATGGACATTAAAATCTGGCTACCTTCATCTTCAGGTTATCTTTGATGTTAGGCTGTGTATGGTGTCAGGACTGCTGCTGACAGCAAAAGGTAGGCCTACATCTTCCCAGGCTCATGCTGAGCCAAAAAGACAGCATTTCTTTCCAGCAGATCCCACACCATTCTATGACTTTCTCTCAACCATGTGCCTGTCCCTTCCCTAGTCACTGTGCTCACATGGATAGATTTATGCAAATAACTGACTACCTCATATATTTACCAATTTTAAAAATATCAGTAATATTAACAGTAATGTACCTGGCATTTAATTTTAGATAAATGAAATCTAAATGTCTTTTGTAATAGAGAGTCAGGTTGAAATTTTAAGTATAGAGTCATTGGAACACATGCACTACAATTACAGTTTTTGAGCACAGAATCAACATGAATTGATGTCATGCAACCCATGTCTTTAAACAGTGTTTGAGAATTTGTTAAGAACTACAAAAATGCTACGAATATGGGGTGTCTGAGTATTTACAAAAAAAGAGAGTTTGCAATAATCAGTAGAGTTTTGACCTTTTGGCATTTACGTGTGCTAATTTGAAGACCACAGACTACACAGTATTGAAATACGAGGTTATGTGGGAAACAGAACCTGTGAGCCAATAAGCAAATGCCAGAGATGCAGAAAATGTAGAACTGGTGCTTTAGAGGTTTTCCTGATTCCTCAGGGTATGCCTCTCTACAAGGCCTGGGTGTATCATTTGGAATTTGGAAGTTGCAAATGTTGTACACTTGTTTTTCCATGCCTGTCTCTCCAAATAGATAATAAGATCTCTGTGGGTAGAAAGAGTTATTTCACTTTGATTATTGCCCCCTAGGGGACTATACAGTAGGTACTCAAATGAGTGACTAAATAATTTAGAGAAGATGAACTAAATAAATGACACACACCCAGAAGGCCACGTCCATCCAGACATGGAGGTTTAATTTGATTACCTTAAACAATAATTACTATTATTTAATAATTTAATTCAGGCCAAATTATTTCCCCAAGTCATCATTTTTTGGGGGAAGGGGTCCTAGATTCCTCAGGCTCTTTCTCATTGGTTCTTTATTTGTTAAAGGGTGGCTTCACTGGTATAGTTATAGGTTATTTTTTAGTGTTATGTAAAAGGCACAGTGTGGACTGAGTCCAGTTGAGATTAGTCAGGATCACTATTATTATTATGATTATTATTATTATTACTATTATTTTGAGAGAGTGTGGGCACATAATCAGGGAGAGGGGCAGAGGGAAAAGGAGAGAGAGAATCTTAAGCAGGTTCCATGCCCATCATGGAGCCTGAAGCGGGGCTTCATATTATGACCCTGAGATTATGACCGGAGCTGAAATCAGCAGTTAGACACTTAACCAACTGAGCCACCTAGGCGCTCCAGGATTTCAGGATTTTATGAAAAAGTAGTCCAACTACTGTTGGACCTAATTTTTTCCACAGGCGAATTATTCACACTGCATACCAATAAGTTATTGACCACACTGGAATAGAGGGGCTCCAGCAAGGAGGTCACTTCCCTTGAAAATGTTCCTATTTCACAGTGAGAGTCCTCACCCAGAGTCGCTATCTACAATGCTGTCCTTCAAACCTGCTTCCCAGCTGGATTTGGGAGAGACAAAGCAGAAAGAACCCATTCAGTTTTCATGTTTCTGGTAGCACGAGAGAATTATACTGATATACTATCAGTCAGGTCAGAGAATTATACTTCAAAATGTGGAGACATGCATTCACCTAACAGATATATCTTGAGTGTGGCGTCCACCTGGCAAAGGGACAGACATGGGAGTTCCTGTGATGAATGAGACAGACTTGGTGTCTACCCTCAAGGAGCTTAAGAAACTGGGCAGGCTGTTGAAAGACTGGTGAGCTTTGACACAGGGCAAGTAAAGTATGCCAGATGTTGTAAAACTGGGGGCACTACCCAAATTTGAGGGGTCAGGGAAGAACACGTTGTACTTGGCTGCATGAAGGTTGGAGAAAACTGTTCTGCATGTAAGGAACTATTGGCATAAAGCTCCTCCAGCAGGAGAGCCAGTTATATGTGAGCAACCACCAAAGCCAGTATGGCTGTAGCAACGGGTGTGAAAGAAAGGCACCTCACCCATGACTGAAGAACACAGGCCATGGGTGACTGGGAGAGCCATGATTTGAGACTTTATACTCAGAACACCAATAAGCTTTGAAGGATTTTAGCCTGACCTAATATCAGCATTGACCTGATGAATTTATTCATTCTTAATGGCTGCTCATTCCCCTGTCCCCCACCCAGAGTTCTTTCTTCACCACCTCTAACTGTCCCTCCAACGCCATGGGCATATTCCCCGCAGTGCTTTAAGCCTGGTAAGTTGGAATCCTCTTCACCAGCGGGCAGCAGGCAGAGTAGCCCACACCCACATCTAGAGTGTAAAGTGGAGCATCAGCCTCTGAAGTCTGACCAGAAAAAAAGAGAGGCAGGGAACATCCACGCATATCCCCTCTGTCTCTCCCGGCCCATGCTGGCGTATATGACATACCCTCCAATGGCTGTATCATGCAGCCCACATGAGTAGAGCCATTTCAAGATCCAGAAGACGAGAGAAAAAAAGGCATAAAAAATACAAGCATGCCTGCTTTCTTCAAAGCTGCTTTTTCTACACTCCTGCCCAACTACAAAAGAAGAGCTTTTTTTTTTTTTTTCTTGAGAAGACAGTGATACTGTTTAGATTCTCAGAGTTTAGAACAAAACGGAGAGGGCTTCAAGTATTTATATTGCTAATCTATGTGTATTTTTGTATGTCTCTGTGTGGGTACACAATGTACTCCGTTTCATAAGATATAATAATGGAACAACTAAGTGGCATTAACATAAGCCAGGTTCCATGTTAGGCAGCAGAGTTCATAAAAGTAGAACACATTCTTCTACCAGGGAATTAGCAGTCTAGAGAGCATGTGACATATATGCACAGTTCATGATAATGAATGTGATCACCAGCTTATGAAAAGAAAACATGCAGTATTTTAGGGGTTTGTGGCAAACTGCTGTTAAAAGAAGACAACAGGTCCAAAATGGAATCGCTTTTGCTAAGCGCCACTCACCAAAGGAAGATTTAACTTGACTACAGTTACGGCTCGCCCGGAAATGAACTCTTAAACCTGTCCAGTCAGGTTTTTAAGATCAAGAATCATCTGATCAGCGCTAGTTGGGTAATCTGCCTGATAAACCCCTGCCATCCCCTAAAGGAAAGTGACCTTGCAATAACCAACCTGGTTTGCTGTGTAGCATAACTTCTTTGTTCTCCCTCCCTTCTGGCTCTGTCTTTTTATCCTGTACAGCTCCTCAGAGCTCTTTTCTCTGTTCGATTGGATGCTGCCCAATTTGAATCGACTTTTGTTCAAGCAAGCTCTTAAACGTTTTAAAGTGCCTCGGCTTATCTTTTAACAGCTCTGGTCAGAAGAGGAAACAGGAGACCCTCCACAGGCCCCTGGAGCAAGCAGCAACCAGGCTCCCCTACCTGGTGCGGCCCCTGAGCTTGCGGTCCTCCGCTCCCTAGGGAGGTTTAAGGCCCTCTTGGATCCTGGCTCTGCAGCTTTGCTTTCAGACTTCTTTCTGCAGACTGAGTCCGGACACCGGCTGGAGTCAAGAAGGGCTCTGTTTAGAAACTGGACCAGGTGCTGGATCAGCCCGGGTTTGACTTAGAAACTAGAAAAGACCAGAGGAAGGCCGGGTCCAACTTAGATCCTTGAGTGGGTCTGAGAAGCCTGGGCCACACTTGGAAAACTGAGGAGCTCTCTTCCGGCCCGTGTCTGTCCTAGAAACCGGAAGCGCACTGGGTTCCACTCAGAAACCAGACCGGGCTGGGGCGGACTGGGTACCCCTTAGAAGCTGGACCCAATGGGGGCCGACAGGTTCCGTTTAGAAACCAAACGGGGCGAGAACAGACTGGGTCCCCCTTCGAAACCGGACCCGGCGAGGGCAGACTGGTTCCAGATTAGAGCCCTGCGTCAGTCTGAGGAGACTGGGCCCGACTTAGAAAACGGAG